GATATAGACAATTTATTTCATGCGAACGAAAGAAGAAGAAGATTTGATACTAATGGACAGCGATTTTCATCTACACATTTTTGTTTTAAAATTGTAATCCAAATTTTTTTCTCATTTTTTAGCATTTGGTCTTTGATCTTGCACTATTAGTTTTCTCGGTTCTATATTTATTTGTCCATAACGTTCTTCTTTAAGACAGAGATTTCCTGTGGCATTATTAACGTCCCTCTTCCTTCAGTAACACTTACTGAATTCAGCCTACGAGGCCACAAATGTAAATGTGTATGCAAAATTTTTGAAACGTACCAAAACATCAGGCGTGGTACCAAAAGCACAATTCTTCTTCGCAAGTGCAAATAGTATCAAATGTGTACGAAAGTACCAACTTCGGATCCCTATCTTTGCCCCCCCCCCCTTTTCCCCCAACCTTTTTTTCGACTTTACAATTGGGTTGGGGCGGAAGGGGGGGGGGGGTGCTTTTGACGTCAATGTGCGGGAATAACGAAAACGAACACCGCATTATTGAATATTGTAAGCGGAGCTATAACTTTTCCTACACATCTCTAATCAATAGGGTCTGTTTGGATGTATTTCCTGTTATTTTAGTTTTTCAGACAGGGTCATTTTTTGGAGACCGGGTCAGTTTTTAGAGTAGAAGATTTAAAGCTTGACTGTGATAGTATATGTATGTGTGTGTATATATATATATATACACACACACACACACACACACATATATATATATATATATATATATATATATATATATATATATATATATATATATATATATGTACACATATAAGTTAAACATGGAGAGATGATAAAAATGTTGGAAGACATCAACGGGACAGATCTCAGAATAATTAAAAACATTTACTGGAACCAAGTTGCAGCAATTAAAGTGGGTACAGGTTGGGTACTTTTGAACATATAAAGCAAGGAGTAAGACACGGATGTTTCTTATCACCAGACCTTTTCTCTCTCTATAGTGAAACAATTTTGAGGGAAATTAAAGAGAATGTAGGAGTAAGAGTTAGAGGATACAATATAAACAATTTGCATTATGCAGACGATACAGTTTTGATTGCTGAAAATGCAACTGATTTACAACAACTGCTGGATATTGTGGGGATGGAGAATGCTAAGAAAGGACTTTCACTGAATATTTTAAGAAAACGGAAGTAATGGTTATATCAAAGACGAAGATAACTCCACGTTGTGATATCTCAGTTGAAGGAAAAAGACTTAACCAAGTCAATAAATTTCAATATCTGGAAACAATCATATCATAAGATGGAAAATGTGTGACAGAGATTAAAAGCAGAATAGGTCAAGCGAAAGCTGCATTTCAGAAAATGAAAAATATCTTATGCAATAAATCGCTCTCATTTAATGTTAGAAAAAGGGTGCTAAAATGTTACATGGAACCTGTTCTGCTGTATGGCAGCGAATCTTGAAATGTCACTGAACAAATTAAGAAGAATTTGGAAGCAACAGATATCTGGTTTCTGAGACGAATGTTACGAATACCTTGGACGGCCAGAGTAACTAACAACTGCTTGAAAGAGGCTAATGAAAGTAGATCTCTATATACAACAATAAGGAAAAAGACAAACACTGATTTTTGGTCACATGATGAGAATAGAGACATTTGAGAACATCGAGACAACTAGAAAGATCAAGGGTATAGGCAGACCAAGAAAGATGATGCTGGATGGGCTGAAATGATGGCATGGAGGTATATCATCAAGAGTGCTGTTCCAGTCAACCAGAAATCGTGATCTGTGGAGACGCATGAGCGCCTACGCCAGTTGGCTGTGCACATGATGATGATGATGATGCTGATGATGATGATGACGTATATATATATATATATCAAGAACTTTGCAATAATGATGCAAATTATATAATGATAATGATATTAATAATGATAAATTATATATTCTCATACTACAACAACAACAACAACAACAACAACAACAACAACAACAACAACTACTACTACTACTACTACTACTACTACTACTACTACTACTACTACTACTTCTACTACTACTACTACTACTACTACTACTACTACTACTACTACTACTACTAATACAATACTACAACTACTGTTACTACTACTGGTACTACTACTACTGCTACTACTACCACTAATACTACTGCTGCTATTACTAATACTACTATTACTATTACTACTACTACTACTACTATAACAACAACAACAACTACGACTAGTACTACTACTACGCACAGATCAATTGGATTAACCTTTGAACTACGAAGATCGAGGATTTCATCATTTACGTTTCCTTCGCTGCTTGTATCAATATTTAGGTTTAATCGACCTTGATGACCATCTTTTAAACTCGGTTTTTAACCACCACGTAGTGCTGCATATTTTTTTTTATCTCCAAACCATTCTCACTTTTCCGTTTCCAGAAAAATGTCAGCATTCGGAAACACTGACCATGAAATGTAAACATTAAAAGCGATGTGTATGACCAGGGTCGTCAGTCGATGGCTGGCCAAACCATGGGCTCACCACGACTGATCGATTCCTTGCAGATCACAAAAGATGACCTCCACAAGTGACCATTTGGGAATTCTTCCATTCACCCAAAACTGGGCAAAGATGAAGTGTTTGCTCTGCGTGATATGTTCCGAATCTGTTCAGCTACCAGAATAGGAACCAGAATTACTGGATGTGTTTATGTATTACACTAGAGAAAGATTACAGAGACAGCCAAAGGGTTGCAGCAGGCATGCCCGAGCAGGGAAAGTAACCCACCAAACGTGTTATGGTAGGGACTTGTCGATAGTGGGAACGAAATGAAATCACACTATATGACCACTATTAGGTTCCTCCACAGAAAGTCTGGATAAGCATGGACAAGAAGCAGCAGTTTGGAATCAAGAAGCATCATTTTCACGCAGAACAGCTACATAAAGGATATTCAACAGACACACCCAATAAGAATTCAACAAGAACTATTATAACCAAGAATAAGAAAATAAAGGTCGCCGTGTTGTATCTTAGTTATCCCTTTGTGAGATGCTATTTCTCGTTATTTGAAGCCCCACCCTGGCTTTTGCCCGGGGCCCTGAATATAACTGGGCTACAATTGTGGTCATAACGGCTGAAAGGGGTTTCTGGGACCTCTCAGCTGGTGATCCTCATCGCATTGTGGCAGTTTGTGTTCTTGGGTGTTTATCGCTTGTGTGATGTCCTGGCGGGGTACAACAAGCTTCAGCAAAGTCGTATTTATAACCAAATTTTCTTAATGCGTGTACAGCACCGTGGACATTTGTGTTCCTGCTTTCTCCAGCGAAGCCGGGAAGCCATTGCAGCGGGTGAAACTGAGGGTTATACAAAGCTGGATTTAGAATTGACGAGGGTCGAAGTTATATAAAGTACCGACACCCCTACTATTTTTAAATTACACTAGTTAATCCCAAAAAAATTTAAAATATATTAGCCTTATAAAAATATGGATGCAGGGAATATATGGTTGTTTATAATTATAATAAGAATTTCACAGGGGAGCATAAGCAGCAGAGGTCCACCGATTATTAGTAGAAATGTTCTTAGTCGACGATTGTTTCAGCCCAATAACTTCCTATACAATATCGGAAGGTGGACTGACCTGGTTCATGTCGCCAGGCCTCGGACATCTCCTGCTGCAATTTATTGGACGTTCGGACAGGGACAAGACGAAATGGTGACTTTGCAACAGGTATTGTGAGATCTGGTGTTTTATTTATCGCTGCGGTAGCAAATTAGCCGACTATCTTCACGACCAGAGAGAGAAGATTGCGATTGGTTTATCGAACAGAGTTAGATTTTGACAGACGCAGAGAAACACTGGCGTACGTTTTAATCAGACACTTTGGCTTTAAAGGGATGTGGAGTTCTTTTTCACTAGGGACTCGGACAAGTTTACCGAGGCCCATCCCCCACGACGTTCCATAATGTCCACAGCCGGGTCGAAGCTCTTTCTGCAGCTTCGCCCAGTTGTTTTATCGCCAGTTTACGCTCTTTGTTTAATTTTTAGTAAACGAAACAGTAAGACTGTGCCTGCAGAATCATAAGATATTATATTTTTTTATCCTCCTAAAGGATGTGTTAAAAGTAGACTGCAATTGTAAACCAAAAAATAAAGGGAATTTAGTGAGGCCCTGCTGATTTTGAGGCCCTAAACTGTAGCTTAGTTAGCTTGTGCCTAACTCCAGCACTGGAATTAAAGATATAACAAATAAAAAGATGAATGAAGGGAAGTTAAGCAACGAGATACCGTGACTCAGGGATTAGAATGCTTGCTTTCCAAGAGTATAGTTTCGCTCAGCATCCCCCACCCCATCTCACCCCCACCCCCTTTTCACCAAACAAATGGCAGGAGCTCAAGAACCCTCATGTTCCTTCACCTGTTATGGTAACTTTATTTACAGATATTATTTAATTTTGCATTAATTCCTTTTACCGCAGATGAAACCATTGCCCTGTGGTCGGGAGACAAGTCCGGGTTGAGATGCCGAACACAGCTGTACCTGCAGAAGATGATTTCTCTACCAAGAACGCATCTGCACAATCATGGAAGCATAGTCATCGTCTAGCACCGAGCGCTCATATGAACGACAACAACGTCGCCGATATAGAAACTTCACACTCAACCATGACAGCCAATGAAGTTTACAGGTCACACGAAAAGAATATCAGTCACCACATTTATGCTGGCACATGTTCTGTCTACAAGCATTTTGTTGATAAACCTGGCAAAAGAACTTCTGGACAACAAGAATATGTTGATTTCTGTTTTTTGTCGTCGATCCTAAATGAACCAGTATTACAAATGTCAGGTTTGTTCTTCCAATCTCTTCGTGAAACATCGACACTGCAAAAATCGACAAATGTTGAAAACACACGTAATGATTCTCCACGACATTATAGACCATTCAGCGGTAACGCCACCACAAGTAAAGCTAGAAAGGCAGCAATGTCAAAAAGACCAGCGGGATATTCAACTTCGCCATTGCCGTCATCTTTAGGAATAGCACCCTTGCTTCTTTTCATAATTCTAGTCAACACATCAACCACATCCTATGGGGAGCCAATAAAAGTTCGTATTCACGCCATCATACCCAGTCATTTTGCTATGACCACAGAGCTAAGTCGAGAGTTCCACAACGCCATGCTTAATTTCCGACGCGACTCCAGAAATCATAAATTCAGGTCCTTATTCAATCCAGAAGGGGACATAACCTTCGTTACCGATGACACCCCAAGGGAGATTATGGACGCGTTTTGCAAAGGGATATTGGCGAAGCAAGTGACCACCATTCTGAACATTAATAATCCTCTAGGAATCCGCAGAAGGACGAGTTCGAACGAGTACATCGTGGAGCTGGCCGGCTATCTGGGGATACCAATGATTTCCTGGGATTCTCAGTACAGTGGATCATCTCAGGTAAGTGTGTGAGGTATCCTGTTTTAAGAACAGTAGATAGATAACTGCTTTCCTGGTGAGTGGTTTACTTGTCGTTTTTCAGGACGAAATTTTTTGTCATTTGAAGCCCTACTCTGGCTTTTGCCAGGGGCCGCAATATAGGCAGGCCATAAATATGGCCAAATGTCTGAACGCGGTTTGTGGGACCTCTCCACGGCGATCCTCATCCGCATGGTGGCACTTTGTGTCATCGGGTGTTTATCGCTTGTGTGATGTCCTGGTGGGGTAGAAAGTCAGTCAGTCAGTCAGTGGTTTACACAACACATATCCAATTTCGTCCTTTCTAGGACTAAATTTTTTTGTCATTTGAAGCCCTACTCTGGCTTTTGCCAGGGGCCGCAATATAGGCAGGCCATACATATGGCCAATTGTCTGAACGCGGTTTCTGGGACCTCTCCACGGCAATCCTCATCCACATGGTGGCACTTTGTGTCATCGGGTGTTTATCGCTTGTGTGATGTCCTAGTGGGGTAGAAAGTCAGTCAGTCAGTGGGGCATCAACAATTATAAACTAGTGATCTCCTCGTGAGATCAATTTTTCGTTAATTTGAAGCCCTACTCTGGCTCTTGCCAGGGGCCGCAGTATAGCCCGGCTATAAATATGGTCTAATACCTAAACGCGGTTTACGGGACCTCTCCACGGGAGATCCTAATCCACATGTTAGCTCTTTGTGTCATCGGGTGTTTATCGCTTGTGTAATGTCCTGGTGGGCTAAAATGTACTACTACTACTATAAAAATCGTCACCTTCAACTAGCATCCCCGAAGAGGAGCTTTTGGTTATAATTGTGATTAGGTAAAGTGTGCCATATAAAATAACTGAACTTTGCACTCCACCAAGAGCCCTGAAAAGGACTCCTGCGGTGTTGATGCGATTCAAGGAGACAGACCCAAATACTGGCAACGAGCCTTTGATAAGTACGATAGAAACTCTAAAGTTGACTAACTCCCAATGTTCACTACCAAGTATAGAAAGGTCACTTAACTGCAAACTACACGAACCCCTGGCATAACATGCCTCTTCCGCCCGTGCCTCCACCCTCCCCCGGTAATTATTTTACTATCTACATTTACCCTCATTAGTTTACGACTTTGATCTGTGTCCACGTTGACTGGATCGTTTGTTATTCTATCCATCCATGATATTCTTTGCATTGTGTCTGTCAGTTTAGAAGCCAATAACAACTGTACGTACAACCTATCATAGTGCCATCACTGCCTGTCACTCGCACTTTCACTGTGCAGGCGGGGGTGAGAGGTATTTGAGCCTGAGGCTTAAAGGCCGCCTGGGTGGAAGGCGCACATAGAACCTGTAGCGTTGAGTGTTCTTGTATTAGCTACATCCAACAGTTAGCTAGTTAGTTGGTTGCGTATCCTTTAGCAAGACGTTTCAGAACCAACCCCATAGTTATTTTGGTTGTTGTGTTTTTCAAGGAAAATTTACGTCCAGTCGTTTGACATCCTATAGTGGCATGTTCATGTTCAATTATCTGCAAGCTCTGGCATCGACACAATTTATGATGTCCAACAGTATGCCCTAGTTCCCGGGCACTCACCCTTCCGTGCCATACAAGTTTCTATCAAGAAACGTCTCGCGTTATTTTCATTTGCTTCGGTTATCATCAGTTCCCTGTGTGAGGTCCGGGGCCTCATTTGGGGCAAGGGCGGAGAATAGACTCATCCTCCCCCTTCCCTCGCATTTGTGAAAAGTGACTAAGTAGGGGTTTCCTGAAATTGGATGTGTTAACACAAAAAGCTCAGATATCGCAGACTAGCTGTGAACTGCAGCATAGCGTGTCAGTTGCTTTTTGAGAGCAAACAAGAAGAAGAAGAAGGAGAAGAAGAAGAAGAAGAAGAAGAAGAAGAAGAAGAAGAAGAAGAAGAAGAAGAAGAAGAAGAAGAAGAAGAAGAAGAAGAAGAAGAAGAAGAAGATGAAGAAGAAGAAGAAGAAGAAGAAGAAAAAGAAGAAGTAAAAAAAGAAGAAGAAGAAGAAGAAGAAGAAGAAGAAGAAGAAGAAGAAGAAGAAGAAGAAGAAGAAGAAAAAGAAGAAGAAAAAAAAGAAGAAGAAGAAGAAGAAGAAGAAGAAGAAGAAGAAGAAGAAGAAGAAGAAGAAGAAGAA